CAGCTCCAACTTCCCATAGGCCTCAAATGGTGGCTATCACCAGTCAAGGGGCGGTGGACAATTTCCACGCTCCGCCACCGCTCACGCGCGGCATTAACACCGTCGCCGTGCGACCGCCAGCGCGACCTTCCGGTCGCCGCTATGCATGCGCTGCCTCCCACTGCCTCCGCGCCGCCGCCACCACACCCGAGCCCAGCCACAAGCGCCTCCAGCGCCGCCACTCCATGGCCATCGCACCGAAGCACATCTGCGACAGACAATTCCGCCATCACCTCGACGCAGGCGCACCACCCGGCCTGAGCTGGGCAGATCCGGTTGCTAGACTCCGGATCCGCCGTCCCCCGGCGTGGATCCGGCCTGCCGTTCTCCCGTCCCCGGCAGCAACAGGTACGGCCTGAACTCTTGCGCAGATCCTCGCGCAAGTCGCCGCCGTCACGCCGCGCTGCACCTCACCGGCGCGCCGCCCACGCCTTCAGGGGTGTGAAGGGCGCAGCACGCTTATGCCGCTACCCAGTGGCCATGGAGCACGGCCACGTCCCCCAAGGGTAGATCCGGCGCGCAGGCACGCTGCCGGGGCACGCACCGCGCTCGAACGGCAGAGCCATGGCGGAGGTCGAAGCCGATGTTCCCGGACGCCACCGCGGGCGTCGGTGCCGGCTACGTCCACCTCGGCCGTTGCAGAGGCGAATGCAGCCGCCGACGCCGCCCCCAACAGGCCACCTCTGCCCCAGCAGCCACAGGCGTCCACGACGAAGGATCGGAGCGAGGACTGCCGGATCCGGCCTCCATGCCGCCGGATCTGCCACCACCGGCCCGAACCAGGAGAGCACCCGCCACCCAGCCAGTCAGCCACCACCGAGGTTGCTACCATGGTGACAACCCTGGTGGCGAGGGTGGAGAGAGAGAGCCCATGGGAAAGAGGCCCCGCCGCCGGCCCATTGCCGCCGGGCGGACCTCCGCCAGCGAGCTCGGGCGGCGTCGAGGGGAGGGAGATGAGGAGCGAGAGGGTTGGTTGCGGCGTTGCTGGAGCCGCCCGTGCCGCCCCTCAAGACGACGCGGGGGCCTGTAGAATGAATTATTGATTGCCTACGAAGTACGAACTCATATCATGCGTAGAGAAGATTTATTACTAACGTGGACAGATTAAGCATGCCTGAGCCTGAGCCGGATCGGAGGGATTATCTTCTCCAGCTAGATGAAAAGCGAAGGCCGCAGGGTCTCACTCGGTTTCCATCGAAACCGTTGACTCGAAAATTAAGCATGCCTGAGCCGGACCAGAGCGAATATCTTCCCCAACTGGACGAAGGCCGAAAGCCGCAGGGTCTTTTACTGGGTTTCCATTGAAACCATTGAGAGCAAGTATAATAATAGACATTTAAGTTGGTTAAATGATGAGGTGAAAGAACGAGGAGAGAAGAGAGAGGAGAAGTAAGCCGTCAAGGGACATGAGCATGAGTGTGCCTGCTATTTCTGCTACTACACTCTGCTTTTTAGAGCTAGATCTGTTGGCGTTGGTGCTGTGCGCGAGCGCGGGACCTCTTTCGTGGGTCGTCTCGGTCGACCCGATGTTGGAGGAGCTCATCGCCTCGCTTGTTCTGAGTCGGCCAGCGGGAGACCCAGCGCCCAGATGTCTGCTTACCGCGGTAGCCCCTCAGGAGGTTGAAGCACCATTGGCGGACACCCGTTCTCCGACTATGGCTGCTCTGCGAACGACGAACTCGCCTTTGTTGTCGCCAGTGCAAGGGCTGCCATAGCTCACGCCACCACGGGTGGGACAACCCGACGTCGCAGATGAGACCACGTCCATCCCTAGTGACGGGACGCCCACGCCATGTGAGGCTGCTCAACGTCTCGCACGGTTCACCGAGGAGGTACAACTCAAGTGAAAGACACCATTAATTGCCAGTCCACCAAAGCAAAAGGCGACAACCACAAGACAGCCCCTGCCAGTCAGGAGCAGACGGATTGCCACTCAGCCGCTGGCGCACATACCTACCTCCAAGCGGGGCGAGGTACTCCTTATGCAGAAGATGGGCATCACGCCGCCGGCAGCTCCAGTTTCATCCGCATCCAAGCGAACATACGACGATATATTCGCAGGGAACTTGACGCCGAGCCATGTGGCAGCTCTGGACGAGCTGTTCCCAGCGACCAACAACAGGGCTGATAGAAAGAGCGCTCTTCTCCGATGGCGGAGTAGGGTCGCGCAGTCAGCTATGGAGACGCCCAACTCCGTAGCTTTCTGTGCTGCTCTCAGTTCGGTTGTATACCATTTATATAATATCGAAGCTTGAAATAGTCTGCTAGGAAGGTCCAATCATAGTTGTAAGACCATCTAGGACGCTCATCAGAAGCGTGTCGTTTGTATGGTTAAACTCTTCTTTTTAATTACAATGATACGTAAATTTTTTACGTATTCGAGAAAAAAAAAATAGAGGTGGTCTAAATCAATTAATGGAGGCCCATTTATAGAGGTAGTTGGATAGCAAACTCGAACCCACGACCAACACACAGCAATAATAACTCTTTTCCACTGCACCACACACTCACAGGTGATTATTATAGATATTTTATATATATTTCAAAATCTTATATTGAATATTTTGGTTATTAAATGAACTTAAATGAAAAATATTTCGACAATAAAGTTTTATATCTTGTCAGCGCTACAACTTCGGTATAGGACATGTCTCCATCTGAGATTGTTTAAAATTTTCAAATATATGAATCTCAAAATAGGTGAATTTAAAACAAATATTTGGAACTCTAAAAATCTTCAAATCAAAAACTTATCAACATCAAGCATATGGATCATGGTCCTGTTCACTTGGCTTATAAGCTGTACTTTTTCAGTCAATGAACAATATTTTTCTCTCACAACAAATCAGCCAACAGTACTTTCAGTCATGGCTTATCAGCCAAGCGAACAGGGCAAATGTCGGCCACTACAACTTTGGTACTAACTATATAAACATTCATGGTTGTTTAGAAATTATAAATTTCAAATTTCAAATCAATAAAATTAAAACATATATTTGGGACTCTAAACGACTTCAAAACCTTTTCAACTACAAAGTTATAGATTGTATTAAGAACTACAACTTTGATATAGACCATGCCGGTATCCGAGGTTGTCTGAACATTTTAAAATTCAAATTTGAAAATATGTGAACTTAAATAATATTTTGGGACTCTATACAGTTTTGAATAAAAAAATTCTCAACTACAGTGAACATGTTGCAACAGATCGGTAAGACTGACAGAATGTTGCAGAACTACAGATATGATAAATGGGTTTTCGGAACATGCATACACGGTATAATTTCAGGTTCCAAACAAATATATTGATCTAACAATATTTACATAAATCAAATATTTAGGAATTGAAAATAATTAATATTTATCCAGATGGTGCTGCCATAATTTAGGTTCCAAACAAATATATTGATCCAACAATATTTACATAAATCAAATATTTGAGGACTGAAAATAATTAAAAACCTATTCGGATGGTGCTGCCATAGGCGCTCAATAAGATCTTCTTGCCCGAGGATGAGTTTGATTGTCCATGAAACTGTTGGAGGAACCCAGCAAATGTGCTCCCGACGTTTTTTAGCCTCTTGGAAAATTGATTGATTTACCAATTGTTTTTTTTTTTGGAACTATTGGAGATGCTCTTAACAACTTTTCATTTGAGATCGTTTAGAATATCAAATATACAATATAAGATTCAGAATTACGTAGTTAAAAGAATATCATAAGTTGTATTTGTGAATGTTGAGGTCTTAAATTTTAAACTTAAAAATACATATTTTCTGAGTGATGGGCTTGTCTTGTCACTTACAAATTCGAATCGATCTGGCAGCGATACTGGGTTTACACCCGGCAGTGATGGGCTAATCTGATATAGTGAATGCCAAACTCCGAAGTATAGGATATCTGGTCGGGAGGTATGCTCTGGTAATCACTGAACCACCACCCACCGGAGTAGGCAAGGCAGCAACGACCCTGAGAACAGAATAGGGCTGTTTGGATGAATCAGATATTTAGATATTAGATTATGATAAAAAATCTGGATTAAGGCTATAATATATTGAAAAGGCTAGACAGTTGCTCATAAATAGCTGGGGTGTTTGGACCCCTAGAGCATAGATGGTTGAATTGTTGTTTGTACAGAGTATGTGTTAACTAGAGTAGACGTTATTGGGAAGAAAGAAAAAAAAAACACGGGAGTAGATGCTTATTATATATTGGGATGAGGTTAGAGCATCTCCGAGAGCCTTTCTCAATCTCTCTCTCTAAATCATCATTTGGAGAGCTATTTGCATAAAAATCATTTTTTATATTTTTTCACTCTCTAATAATAATTTTTCTATATCTCATTCGCACTCTACAAAAGTCATTCTCGTCTTTTATATTTGACTAGCGAAAAATCCGAAATAAAAGATAGCTATATTTGGATGACCATTTAGAGAAGTTGTTTGAGGGTTGTTTTTCACCAAAATCTCTATTCCTAACATTTAGGATATGAAGAGTCTCTTAGGATGCTCTTACAACACTATAGATGGGTGAATTTGGGCTGTTTGGATGCTACAGGTTTTTTAGATGATTTTTATAATCTGTAGCTAATCCAAACAAACATGCCTTTAATACTGTAGTAACTTCTGACCAAACAAGCTAAGAAAAGCCAAACAATTGGAAGCCATGTTTACACTAAAGCATTTGCTGGAACAGGTTAGGAAAATGAAAAAGCGCCCTGCTTTGTTTTTGAAACGAAAGTGAATGGCATGTCGAGCAGAAAAGCACCTGCTACTTATGTTGGCAGTTAGCAGGTTCAGCGAAACAAAAACCAAAAACCCCGATACATACAGATCTGGAATGCCTCAACTCAACAAAGAAGGCCAGATATCAAGCCACCAAACAATGTATCAAGTCGAACACGCAACTGCGCCGGTTATTTATCTAGTTTTTTTTATTATTTATATGCAAGAATCAATCGCTCAACTACAGCAGCAGTTGACGAACCGGCCGCTGATCTTGCATGACCATACAGAATGTTTGCCGCAGTAGGAGGAGAAGGACTCCTTGCACAGTTTAGGCGAACAGGCTCCAACATTCCAGCATCGTTGGCTAGCTTTCGCATCCAGCAGCGGGGAGCTGCCCCTGCCGGCCGATGCGACCGCGGCGAGGAGTGCCATCAGCAGCAGCGCAACGGCGAGGACAACCTGAGTCTTCTTGCTGCCCATCGCCAGCTATGAGGATTGGTAAGTGTTCTTGGTATGTCTAGATAGTTAGAAACTACTTGGTTTCTCGATGCTCGTTCGTTTTGAGGGTGCTTGCTTATTATATAGGCCAGATCCAAAAGCAAAATTATCTCGAAATTGAAGAACTTGAGAAATCAATTCTTAATAATCTTGATAGAGTATATTGGAATTTAGAATAATGTATTTATTTTATGGCTGCTAATGTGCCATGTCTTCAAATAGGTGTGCAATTGTTGGCTACACTTGTTGTCCATCTCCTTATAAGGCACATTTTTAAAGAACTTGCTTTGACCAATAAATTAACTTGAGAAATCAATTTCTACCAATCTTGATAGAGTATATATTGGAATTCAGAATGTATTTATTTATGGCTGTTGTTGGCTACTCTTGTTGTCCATCTCCTTATAAGGCACATTTTGATTTAAAGAACTTGCTTTGACCAATAAATTAACTTAGGAAAAAGTCTACATAAACCCCTCGACTATTCATGGTGAACTACTTCACCCCAAACTATAAAACCGGATTTTCTACATCCTAAACTTTCCAAAACTGATCAAATAACCCCCAAGCTGTTTTGGACGGTGTTTTTGTTACCGTGATAGTGGTTTTGTCTTTTTCTTTTTATTTATTTCCGTTGAATCTTTGAAAAATCATAGTAAATGGAAAATCCAATTTTGTTGCACTCCACATGAGTAGATCTATATAGTGAATATATAATATGGTATGCTTTAGTACAAAGATTTTTCTGTAGCTTTAGATCTATACTTTTTTGTAATTAAATGGAATAATTCACAGTTGCAGCTTCTATAGTCCAATTGTGGTGGATTTTTTATGGTGGGTTAATTATTGTATGCTTGAATTATATTAAAATTGCATATTCATTGGATCATGTATAACTTAGTTATAGATAAAACATACAATACTGATTGAATTATATTAAAAATTTTATACTTATTGGATCATCTATAACTAAGTTATACATGATCCAATGAGTATGAAATTTTTACTACAGTTCAAGCATACAATAATTAGCCTACCATAAAAATTTTACCATAATTGGACCATAGAAGCTGCAGCTATGAATTATTTCAATTAATTACAGAAAAGCATAGATCTAAAGATACAGCAAAAACTTTGTACTAAAGCATATCATAGTATATGTTCACTGTGTAGACCTACTCCTGTGGAGTCAAAAAAAATTGGATTTTCTGTTTTATGATTTTTTTGTGATTTACTATGACTTTTCAAAGATTCAACGGAAATAAATAAAAAAGAAAAAGACAAAACCACCATCACTGTAGTAAAACCATCGTGCAAAACCGCTTGGGGGTTTATTTGACCGATTTTGAAAAGATTTTTTTTTGAGAGAAGCCATCTGGCGCACTTTATTGATTTGAAAATAGAGTTACATCGTTCACCAGGGCTTCAAGAATCGGTTCATCGGCCCAAATACAAGCATGCTTTGACTGAACAACTAAACTTGCTAGATTATGCGCTACTCTATTAATATCTCTGTTACAATGCTCAATAGAAATAGAAGAAAATCTTGCCAAAGCATCTTCGTGGGATAGACAATTCGGTTTTATAGTTGGGGGTGAAGTAGTCCACCCTGAATAGTTGAAGGTTATGTAGGTTTTTTCCAATTAACTTAACAGTTACTACTACAGTCTAGATTAACAAAGACAGTGAAAACTTATTTTTTTTAAGATGGGAGCCCAGGCGCCTATGTATCAATTGAGGCATAAGGATGGCCCGCCTCTATTATTAAGAGAGGCGACTTTTGTAACAGAGTGAAGTATCGATGGTAACATAGATAAGCTTTTAACGTGAATGGCTCCATTCGGTACTCATCCCAAATCCATACCCCAAATTTCTCCATTTCTTCCAATAGTGCCTCCAAGAAAAGTCTCCCTATCTCAGAAGAGCACTTCACTGCTAGGTCTAAACCTCTTATCACTGCCGAAAAGTGAGCCGGCAGTGGGCAAATGAGTGTGATAGGTTTTTGTTGGTTACCCTAAACCGGCAGTGATATCCAACATCACTGTCAATTCTACTCCTAAACCGGTAGTGACAGCCTAACAGTATGACAAATCATTCTTACACCCGACTGTGCACTCTGTTGCACCTTGACCGGTGAAATGAAAACCCCAAGCATAGAACTTCGCCTTCGGACTTGTTTTCATCTCCTTTTTTCCAATGTTAAGCACTTGATGAACTTGGGGCCATCATCATCTCCTCCATGGTCGCCTCCTCTTATTCAACACTTGATGTGGACTAGATCTAGCTTATCAATACCTAAGCACATTGTTAGTCCACTAGTTATCACTCAAGTACCAAAACTAGACTAGGGCTTCCATCAACCCCTAAATGATATCAAATGAAAAAGTTTCAATTACAAGATTTAAATCTTGTCGAACTCTACAATTTCAATGAAGGGTGTGTCTCCATCTGCGTTATTTTCAAGTCTAAAATTTTTTTAATCTCCAAATTTGAGAGCTTTGAAGAAAAAATTGGGACTAAATGTTTTCAAATAAAAAAACTTGTCAACTAGAAAGTTGTAGACTGTATTGACAAGTGCAACTTTGGTATAGATATCCACGTCCAATGCTATTTCAAATTTCTAAATTTCAAAATCTTAGAACATAAAAGGTTATTTGAAAATAGTAAATTTTGAACTTCAAAATATAAGAACTTAAAACAAAATTTTGAAACTCAACTCTAAAAAAGTTAAATAAAAAATTCATCAACAACAAAGCGGCAGATCATGTTGAGGTCTACAATTTTTGTATAATAAAAAAATATGACTTTTCTACGACAATTATTTCTAAAGGCAACCCTTAAAATGTCTACCTCTGTTAATTGATTTCTAGTGTATGCCTCTATTAATAGTTATTTTAGAGGTGGGGCATACTACTTTGACCACTTCAGTTAATCGATTAAGATAGATGGTCACCTTATTATAATTTGAATTCCCGTCTCTAAAAAGGATTAACTAATGCAGGCGTTTGCCTGGAGCTCTCCTAACCATTTACAATGAAGATACTACAAAATATCTGTCTCTATTAACCATGAAGCGCTATCTAAAATCCTTTCTGTAGTAGTGTTCACTTAACTTGTTTTATTTGATGCACTGTATAATAATATTAATGTGTTATCATAAAATCATAATGGCCCCGTTCGCTTGTCTTAAATTTGGCTTGTTCGGCTTGTTTTTTCAGCCGGAACAGTGTTTTTCTCTCACAACAATTCAGCCGGAACAGTGTTTTTCAGCCAGTTTCAGCCAAAGTTCAGACCAGCGAACGGGGCCAATATTTTCAATATTATATTCATTCTTTTGAAATATTGACTATATTCATGGCCCATGGCAGCATCAAAATATTTAAATTGTCTCGTTCCTATTGGACTAGTCAGACTATGGACTTTAGCTAAAATTGGTTGATCCATGGTTCATAAAATTGCTTTGAGGCCATGGGCTAGGTCAAAGCTAGCCATTCCCCATGCATGATACTAATAGTGCATTTGGCGGCGAGAAATGTATTAGATTCTTAGTAGAATCGCTAGAATCACTATCAAACGCCATCAGAAGAGAAATGTTTAATGAAAAATCACTTGGACCCGATTTTTATACATCCAAAATCTGGTTTCTCCTTATTCTAGTTCAATTTAGGATCCAATAAACTAACCAAATGGTTTCATGAACTGATTCTGATTTAGAAAAAAAAATCTAGAGATAATCTAGATCTAAAACATTTGTAGGAGAATCCAGATCGTCACAGTACTATACACACCCTAAGCTTCTCTCCTTTGCTTTCATCCGAAGGCTTAAGAAGTAAGCGGATATCCAACAATGGCAAACTGAACCACGATATCGGAGCCGCAGCAAAAGAACCTGACACGAGCAAACGTACAACATGGTGGACCAAATCTAAGCTTATTATGCAAATGAACTTAAGAATTTAAGGAAAATGAATCAGAGCTAGCTTATTATGCAAATGGTGGTGGAGATTAGAAACAGAAAATGGATTACGGCAAGATATTATCAGTTACAATAAGGATCAAATCTATTCATGAGGTTAGTCATCGCCTTAATGATTCACAAATGTGGTATGATTTGCTCAAGATCAAAGATATATATTTACAAGGGAGAGCTGTTACCATCAGAAATGGGGAAAAAGTGAGATTTTGGCTAGATGTTTGGTTGTATGATGAGCCTTTATGTAAAATTGCTCCCGTACTGTTTGAGTTGTGAAAATAAAAAACGCCACTGTAGCATAGGTTAAAAATGGAGAGCTGATCATTCAATTTAGAAGATGGTTATACGAAGATCTTGCTATTATTTGGACACAAATTTGGGAGGACACACATAATTTTTCCTTAATAGATGAACCTGACAAGATAAGCTGGAAACTTGAAAAAACTGGACAATTTTCAGTTAAGTCTGTTTATAATGGTCTTACTAGAAATGAGTCAGGTCTTTATCATAAGAGAATTTAGAAAGGTAAAATACCTCCCCGTTGGTGCAAAAATGTGGTGATGCAGTCAACACACAGCAAGCCGGACGATCTGAACGGATTGAGATTGGAGATCTGCTTGGCTTCAACACAGGACCAGTCGATTTTGAAAACCCAATGGCGTGCCAGTCAATTTGACCTGCATTTGACAAGGAGAGAAAACCTTATCAGTAGTTTAAGGCGGAACATGTCGGTGTTGCTACAGACAGTTCCAAAATATGCAGCTAAACAGCCGATTCAATAGGGCTATCGACTAAATAGTCGATATCCAACATATCAGTAAAGCAAGGATCGTTGAATTAAAGATTATCGGCTAATATCAATGATGATGGTACGAATTCAAAATAACCAATACTCATGGGTCATAGCGATTTTATTATGATTGATTAACCCAGACAGAACAAGTACAATACACCCAAATATAAGTAATATAAAGAAACATCATCAGCTAGTAGATATAACCAGTGTAAA